AATATACTTTTATTCAATACTTCAGTTATGTAGTTATATGATAAAAGATTTGGATCTAAATGGCTACAGCTATGTAGAAAACATGAATTAATGTCACAAGTTTTCCTTACGACAAAACAATTTAATTTCTTTAAAACCACCAATCTTGCAAAATATCATATATATATATATATACACACATATATATATACACACAAATAATATCATGTACACACAGTACATGTGTATGCATGTGTGTGTGTGTGTGTGTATAAAATTTCAGTTGCTGGTTTGATATTTCATATGATTTTCAAAGGAACAAAACCCAAGAGGACAACGGTAGCTGCATGCTGCCTTCCTCCTTTACAATCTGCCACGAGGACATCCATCATATACCTCCTTGAATAGAGCAAGGACATTCATTGAACCTAAAATGCATCAATTTGAGATGGATGCTTGTAACCAAAGAGCTCACTGTTCTGAACACCATGACTCATCAGTGCTAGAATCATGAGTAAGTGATAGGCTTTGCTTCCAGAATATAAAGTTCACATCAAAAAGGAACAAGTAGATATTTTTGGTTTATCCTATGTGACTACTTGTCACTCAAGTATGGAGTGGTTAGCAGATTTCCCCAAAATTCACCAGCCAAAACACAAAAAATCCCAGCATCACTGAACTCACAGTAACACCTCCTGCTGGGTCAATCTATAGCACAGATTGCAAAATTAATCAGAAAATGACATTAAAATATATAAATAAAAGTGTTTGGGCAACAAAACATTTTAGAGTCTAATTAGTGATGTCCTAGCCAGATGGCCTCAGATAAGAGGGACCTAAAAATAATGCAACTCTCCCCTTAATTCACAACTCTTTGTTGTTTCCTTCTGTCAGAGATGTAAGAGTGGAACTTTAGAGATCTGTCAAACTATTTGAGAAAACAGTTCAAAAATACTTTTCAAAAAAACAAGTATTTCATGCCTTTTCATGCTAACGCGTAACTTTTACCTACTGTTGGGATGCTAAATAATTGGGTCACAGGAGTTTCCATGGACACGTGGCTAAAGTAAATGGGACACAAATCAGAACCTGTGTTTTTAGGATGACTCATCTCAATCAAGTTAGTCTCAGAGCAGTTCAGATGTTTGGTCCCTCAACATTCATGGAAATGAACCACAAGGTTGCGGGATTTTCCTGTGAAGGGCAACTCCTTCACTAAAGAAATATGCCTCCTCTATGTTAATATCTAGATGAATACAGAACTAAAAAAAAAAATCTTTTCCTTGGAGATGAGAATAAGCTCAAAACTCAAATGGTGAGATTAACTATTTGTACCGACTACCTCTGGTCAGCAGATGTTGATTTTAGGTGAGGTGTAGTGAAAGTCATTCACTACTAAAAACTGTCAAGGACTAAAGTTATAAAGGCTCAATTTTTAAAGTTGTTAGAAAGGATCAAGATTATTGGTATGGTGGTACTGTCTTGAGTGTGAGCCAAAAGGATGGGGTAACAGCTGACGTTCTTAGAGATTTTCACTATCCTTGGCCTATTTTTCTACATCATATAATCTGAGCACATCATTAAGGATGTGTACAGTTTGTTAAAATATGATAGGCTAAGTTGGATAAATAATAATGAGAATGAAAACATTTGCTCTAAAGACTATAAAGTTTCATCAAAATTAAAGTGCAGAAAGGCAATGAAGGATGACTAAAAGTGAACATGAATAATAATCAACCCCAAGATATCTACAAATACGATGGCTGAATATATGACCAAAAAGGAAACTAGACAAAGGGGTGCCATAGAGGTGGGCTCCTTGCACTGCCAGGATGCAGGGAACATAAGATGATCTGTAGTAACTTTTCTCGGCAGATCCAAACCAATGTAGCAATAGATATAATGATATTCCAGCTTGACATAATTAATCCAGTTCTCAGTACTTCTTTGGCAAAAGCAGACATGAAAGATTATCTTTCATCCATCCTTTCTCTATTCACAGTTTACTATTAAATTTCATGAACCAACATCCTTAAACATTCTGATTGCCAGAGTGAAGATTCAATGAAGGATGAGCTCACACTGAACTCCCTCCCTGGGGTTTGCCTAATAACTATTTAGGGCCTAGTTATAATTAATCTTTTGAGAGACACTAAAGGTGGCTATTTCTATGTCTCTATTAATGGGCTCAAATAAAGTGAAAGTCAGTTTTGTATTTTTAAGCAACTATAATAAATTGATCTAAGAGGTAACTTCATTACAACCATGGATAAGGATGCACTAACATCTGCAGTATCCTGCAAGTGTCCCAATGACTATGGAAAACTTTAGGCACTAAGAGAAATCTTGGTTAAGAGACCTAGACCTTTTTATGTTAGTACATTTCTCCCCAGAGGCAGGAAGGGTTACTTTCAAAGGACATACATTCTTTGAAGTCAGTTAGAAAATTATTGCTGCAGGGTACTAAAAAGTAGCTCGAACAGCATGACAGAGATAATGTGCAACTGCACTGTGCTCATTATGCCAAGATGTAATTTACCGTTTCAGCACACACTCTCCCTCTGTGTGCACCCAGGGTCGTGAGAGTTGGGAATCACCAACTGGGTTTCTCTCTGAATATTTACAATGTTACAACAATACACCATAGTGGGTTAGAACACAATGGGCACAAATTGTACCTGGATATCCTTTTTCAAAAACTATAGAGAGCCATTCACCAACTGTTTTCAAGGATCGGGAGTAAGATTATTGAAAAGTTAAATCAATCCCTTCCCCTTATCAGAAATCATAACAGGATACAGTAAAATAAATGTTCAAAATATTATTTCTATTTAGTGTACACAAAGATATTTACTAATGTACATATTCCTACTGTAAAATTTTCTAATGCAGAAGACTTCAATGACCAAAAGAGAAAGGTAGGTGAGACTCATCAAAATCTTTTCCACTCCATGACATCAATAATTACCTTTAGTTCTGACTAAAGGTGCAAAATAGTTTATTTCACTGAAGCTCATTACTCTAAGTCTTATTAGCATGTTATTATAACATGGCTGAAAGCAGAGATGATCGCTAATATCATCGTAGTTTACTAATGAAGTCAAATACAAAGTTGGTTGTGTCTACATTTGTGTACAAATGTGCAAGTATATAGACACAAACTAGGTTTCTCTTGAAGCAGTGCAACTTTGGGGTTGTGGAGAAAAAAGGGTTAGATGTTACAGCTTGTCTCCTTTACAGTAGCCTGTTCAAGGTTTCATGAGAACAAGAATCCTTCTCATTGAACAATTAAATGTTATAATTATTTGTGTAACAGAACATGGAAACTATTTCATCATCTTCCCATTAATTATTTCAATCTTTTAAATACTTGGGACCAATTCAGTTAAAGGGGGCTCAAATAAAAGGGCCTAACAAAGGTAAGAAAATTTAATCCACAACACCTACATCATGACATTACAGCAGCTATTTACAGCCTACTAAGTGTTTCATGAGATTCGAGATTCCTTTTTAAAGACTTTGGACTTGATTTATCTTGGACTCTTTATGCTATAGAAATTCAGATCAGAGAGCAAAGAGCTAGATGCAGAATGGGGCATGTGCTCAGTTACGGGTTTTATAGCTGACACAATTCTTTCACTGCACATTTTCTGGCCTTGGCTGCCTTGACTTGGGTTTAATGATGCCTGGCAAAGAGGCCCTGCTATTTGAAAAAGTTTTCTTATAAGAGAATCTGGAAGAGAGATTGTCATTTTGAATTCTATTCTACATCTCTGTAATTTCTTACAATTATTCAAGGAGAATGTCTTTATTAGGTAAGTGGTTTCTGTTTGCATAAGCAAGTTGGTGAAAAATTGCAGGTATGAGTTCCCCACAAATTAAGTGATAAGACACTTGGAGCAAATTCCTTGAGTGATCTTAAAAGGAAAGATTTGAAAACAGATTTTATGCCTATAACTAAAGACAGCATGTTATTATGACTTATAGCTGAAAGCTGAATGGGTTGCTTCCTTTTAAGATGTATGAGGAGTTATGTCCAAATTTCTTCTTTCACTTCAACCTGAAGACTTAGCCGTAGCATTTTTTTTTCTTAGTTATTCTAACCAAACTACTCAAAAAATATCTCAGCATCAAAATAGTGGCTCCTGGACAAATGATTTAAAAAGAGACTGGGACTTCCAACAAACTCCTCTCCTAGGAAACTTTCATTCCTAACCTATTATGTTCATGCACAAAGGAATAGTCAAGAAATAGCCTATGTTACAACTGAAAAAATGAAGCTCATGTAGAGAGAGAGGGAATGATTCTCAATCTGATACCTCAAGGCACAGAGGGTAGTATCTCTTGATTTTTCAATTTTAGAAGGAGTGGAATGTAGTTCATGAAAAGTAAATGCCATGCTCCTGAAACACTTCACAATGTAGGTTCACTCTGGCTTTGCACTGCCATTGCCTTTAGAACCTGTTCCTGCTGGCCAAACCATATTCTATAACTATCTATAGCGTTTCCCATGTAACATTGAACAGAATCTTGGTTTTGTTTTTGTCAAAAGTAGTAACTTATTTAAGGTTAAAAAAAGAAAGAAAATAAATTAATGATCAAAAACTCTTAAACACACTAGCAGTATGCTTTATTCCACTGCATCATAATCAGCAAGGCCAGAATCAACTTTATGAAGTTTAAGACAGAAAAAATTAACTGAGGAAAGGAAGAAAATGGAAATCACTCATAATGGAGAAAGTCACAGTGAGACCCTGTCAAAACAAAACAAAACAAACCAACAAAACTAACCCTTCCCCAAAAAGAATATGTAATGGAGATAACATAGTGGAGAAGAAAAGGTATAGCAATAATTTGTAAATTATTGAAAAAGAGATAATAATACTCTTTAGATATAGTGAAGTGTTTTTCAGGGTATAAAGACTATATACAATCACTATTTCAACTTTTTGGTACATGTCTAACAAGCTAACAATAATTGTACGTTTTATGGAAAAATGTAATGGGAATGATACTCTTACCATCTGTTTTCTTTGCATCATTTCCGAGATTGGAGTGATCCTTCTTGTCTGTCTTATTTTTACCATCTTTCACATCACCTGGAAGTAATAAATATGACAAACAGTATATGTATACAGCTGAGGGGGATGTTATAAATATCTTTCAACTGTCAAGGTTTTAAAAAATGCATTATAGTTTATAGACATGAGGGAGTATGTGTCTGAGTGTAAATATCTTTTGTAACCACATGTTAAATTCTGGAAATTGGAAAATAAAAAATTAAGACTGAAAGTTCCTGCCAGACAGACTTGTACTTAAGTCAGTGGTATTTATCTTCCAAGAAAGGCAATTAAGTTCCATTGTTAGGCTATGGAATGAGAAAAACTCTGAGTTAAATGTGAGTTCTACCAATGAATAGCTATTTAACATCTCTATGCTTCAGTCTTATCTGCAAAACCGGGATCATACATATGACTTACAGGCATAATGATAAATGTATTTGAAGTATGTAAATACTGAATGTATTTTCTGGTATATCCCTCAGTGACAGTTGTTTTTATTCTAAAGTAGAGCTAAAATGGTAAGCTTGTTAACAGGGAATAGATATTTACAGGCATTTTAGAAATATGTTAAAATAAGATTAAATGCTAAAACTTTAGGGCCGGGGATTTAACTCAGTGGTGCTGCCATCTACCTTGCAAGTTCAAGGACCACAGTTCAGTCTCCAGCACCAAAAAAAGAGAAAACTTTACATTCCACAGGCAATAAAACCGTATCTTTTGAAGTTATCTTCTTTCACCAAAAACCTCTATGGTAGTGTGTAACTACAGTTTCATGGATCAAAGGGTAAATAACAAAGTTAAACCCAGCCATACTCTCCAAAAATAGAATGAGCAAAATATGGCTCACAAGCCACCTAATAGAGTTAAAAAAAAATTTTTTTTCTCTTGGCATGCAGCTATGTCCACCATTACATAGTTGTGGCTGCTTTCATGCCACAATAATGAAGTTGGTCAGCTGCAATACAGATATGTAGGCCAGAAACATTTTTTATCTAGTCTTTTATACAAAAAAAAAAAAGAGACAGTAAAGAAAAATAAAAAGTGCTAGCCCTTGAGCAGGACAGGATAATCTAATAATCCTCGGGCAGGTCTACTCAACAACAGGCCAATGCCATATTAAAAGTTCATGTAGGCCTTCCTCCAGACTTATTTTGGAGTTTTGGATATTTTTCTTACCTGTCTCACTAATGGCAGTTTTCTTTTTAGCCAGCATAACATCAAGAATACATTACCACCCAAATACACTGTATTTACTGAAGCAAAAAAGAGCATGTGTGAGAAAAGGAACTCATCTTTTTTTTTCTTTGTGCCAACCAATGTGCTAAATGCTTTGACTGCATCATTTCATTACATTCTTATAACAATCTCATTATAAAGACAGCACTGAACCAAGCATGGTGGTGCACATCTATAGTCCTAGCACCTGGGAGGCTGAGGCCAGAGGACTGCTGTGAGTTCAAGGCCGGCCTGAACTAAATGGTGAAATGCTGACTACAAAAAAAAAAAAAGCAACACCAAAAGCAAAACAACATCAACAACAACAAACAAAATTTTAAAAAATACTGTTATGAAAAACAGAAAAACTCATAAAAGATTCCTTCCCTAAATGATCAGTTTATCGAGTAATTAACCAAAGAATTGAAGATTTTTTTCAAATTTGAGGTTTTCCTCCTCGCAGGCATACAGGCAAACTTTAGTCAGTCTATCCAGGTTAACTCCACCAGCATAGGCTTCAAAAACCCCGGCCTCAGGGGAAAAAATGAGAACCAAGACCTGTCATGTAGAGGTACAAGATCCCAACAATGAATGTAACTGTACTGTAAACCTAAAATGTACTTAAACTCAATTAAAGCTGGGAAAACAAAACAAAACAAAACAACACACACACACACACACACACACACACACACACACACCCCACACATCTGAGTTCAACCTTGCATCTGGATCTCCCCCTGGTGGCAAGAGTGTTCCTGTCAACTAATGTGGATTTGGTTTAAACCACTTGTCTGATATCATTTTAGTTTTCTTTTTGAAAATACAGTGGCAATTTTTTTCCAAAAAAAGAAAGGTAGTTTAGTGAATAGCAGCTGAATAAAACAAATCCCTTATTGGCAATAAAACTGATATTCCTACAAAATACCTTAAGAATTGAGCAGTTGAGAAAACGACCAATGGCAGTTATCATTTGTTGAGCTTTTATCATATAGTTTCACCCACATTATATAAATTATTTCATGCATCTTCACAACTAAATGTAGAAATCACAATACAATAGTCACCATAATTTTGAGATTACAAAAGTATCTTTTTTATACTTTCCAAAGCTAGAAAGTGGTACAGTGCTTAGAATCATATACTTTAGAAATTTTTGTTTCCAATTTTTTGTTGAAAATTAAGTCATTTTAATTTTTTTATTTTTATAAATACATATTTGTACTACATAATGATTATATTCATTATAGGGAACTGATATATGTATATAACATATCTCAATTCTTTTTCCCTTCCCAGATTCATTTATTTTATAAGTATTTATCAAGTTAATTATCATAAATACAGATTAACATCCCTTTAGAATAAATGGCCAAATAATCTTATAAATTTTGCTTATTTGTAGGGAATTGTCCTGGAATACATTATCACCCCCATCTTACTATGAGTCCAAGGCACAGATAAAGCAGGACCACAGAGCAAAAATATGGGTTTGATTCTACACCCAATCTCTCCATTTACTGTTTCCATTTCTAATTTGGCTTATAGATCTATGAAAAAATGGTCATCTAAGGATAATTCAAAGCCACTGTTGGTTGTGACATATTCCACAAACCTTGTACAAATTTTAAGTTAAATTAGAAGTCAACAGATTCCATTGGGCTGGGGGTTTAGCTCAGTGGCTCCGCCGCCTGCCCTGCAAAGGCAAGGTCCTGAGTTCGATCCCTAGTACAAAAAAAAGCAAAAAAGCAAAAAAAAAAAAAAAAACTCTACAAAAGTCAATAGATTCCATTTCCTGTCATTCTTAATCCTAAAACAGGATGAACTAGCTGGAAGAATTAAGAAGAGGTATCTACCTTGGCCAGGATCAAAATAAGTTGGATTTAAGTACAGGACATCTCCCTCTACCACTATTAGTTACCAAAAGAGAGTGGTTCCTTTGGAAGTTCCATGAAACAGTCCAAATACTGGCTTTTTCCTGTTTAGAGAAGCTACAGATGAATTCAAGGATCTCAAGCCCTGGTGTCAAATTAATTCCCTGCTGAAAAGTGATCCTTCTTCCCTACAAGAATGTTCACATACCTAATGCTCTCTATTTTCTCCCTTCTGGGCAGTTTCAACCTGCAGCATTACCCACCGCTGCAGCAAGAGCGTATCTTTGGGAAACCAGCATTTCAATGGTATGATGTGCTGGATGCTGGCAAGTAGCCCATGCAGCCAGGACTGGGGAGACTGAGGGAACAAGTTGCCTTGATGGAAAACAAATTTTAGAAGATCCTGTAACTACCAAGAGGAAACCAAACCTCTAGAACCTCTGTAACCAATATCCTTCAGCCCTAACCTGGAAAATGCCTTGGGCAACCCATGAAGAAGGGTTCTGGGAAAGTGTTTGTTTGATGACGCTTCCTGAACAGAAACCATTAGGTAATTTCCCATGGGTTGTACTTGGAGTAATGTCTGATATGAGCTGCTATTCAATAAACAGGGAAACCAAAAAGCCTTTCTGGGCAGTTATAAATCATTTTAATTAGGCTGCTGTAACAAAGTCCCCAACCACCATTAGCCTCTCTTATTATTGCTCTAAATTGATTTCTTTTCCCACCTCTCATTAAATACTTAATTTTTAAGGGAAAGGGCAGACTGCTGCTTACTTGGGGAAACAGAGTTTTGAAATCAAGTTAGACTAGTTGTAGACTCTGGCTCCTGTTTTGTCTTTCTAGCTCTTCCCACAGTCATCATCAAATCAAATTACTCTCCCTTCCACCTTGTCTGAGTCTTTGTAAAATTGGTAACATTCCTTATGACTGGCTTGTTTATGTTCATTCGTTTCTCTCACTGATGCCATGCCTTGTCCCACTACCTGGTTATGTACGACCCATAAACTGAGAATGGTCTTTACACATTTACAGGGTTGCAGAGAAAAGATGAATATTTTGTGACATGAACACTAGGTAGAGTTCAAATTTTAATTTCCTTAAGTGAAGTTTTACTGGAATACAGCCTCACTCACTTGTTTATGTATCATCTTTAGATTCTTTTAACCTGAGGGTAATTTGGAGCGGTTGTGACACAGATCATCCGGTCCAAAAAGCCTAAAGTGTTTACAATCTGGCCCATTACAGAAAAAGTGTGCCAGCCCATGGAATAGGAATATTACAAACTTCTTTTGGACAGAAGTGAAGTGTCCTCTTTCTCCAGTAGCCACCCTCCAAAGGCAACAAACCTGGAAAATATTAGGAATATCCTGGTAACCGACTGTAAGGTGGGGATGCACATAAAACTGAGTTTGACCTGGGGTCTCTGCTTAGTGGGTGGTTGACCTTAAGTAAGTGATTCACCCTCTCTAGGTCTCTATGTTCCTGTCTACAAGATGGAATATGTGTTCCAGCCTGAGAGAGTTGCTAGGATTTTAATATGAGGTAAAAACCTCAAATAGGAGATCTGGCTCATTAAGCATTCAATAAATGGTAGTGTTATTACAATCACTGTTTTTATTAAAGAAAGGACATTTCTATTATGCTAAACAAAAAAAAAAGAGGAAAGAAACATCCTTCCTTAAGAGAACCCATACGATAATTGAAGCTTGGATCAGATTTATTTCACTTAACATTACGGTCTCAATCCATTTGAATACACCGCAAACTAGTTAAGAAATTCTGGAACCAGGTTTCTGTGGGGCTGGACTAACTGGGGCATGGGCCACCTCTGCTCTTAGAATACTCATGAGGATTAACTAAGGCTTTTAATGAAAGTTCTTAGAATGTAATGTGAAATATCATCAGTATTGCATTAAATATTATTTTCTGATTATATATTGCTAGGAACTTTCTTTTTTTGGTACCAGGGATTGAACTCGAGTCCCTGTGCTTGCAAGGCAGGCCACCGAACCGCTGAGCTAAATAAATCTCCAGCCCTGTACTAGGAACTTTCTACCTATTATTCATTGACCCAGCTCATTGCATGAGCTACAGGAAATTATCTGGCCCTACCAGGCAGGTAAGAGAATGAGTATGAGAAGACAGAGCTTAAAACACTATCTAGTATGTAATAATAAATGCTATTTATTTTTATTTCTTTGTTGTTTTGTTAACATGATTATTATTGAAAGCTCAGAAGAAACCAGTGCTGTGAGTAGATACTGTGTGTGTTTTGTGAAAACAGAACATTAAATCATTACATAACCTGGCCAAGGCCACCAAGTGGAGGCACAGCTGTGATTTAAAAATGCAACGCTGCCCTGCTACTTGGCCCCAAGCTGGCACTTGCAAGCTGTGGAGACTCTCAACTTCTTCCCCATTCCTAAAAAAGGGAACCAATTCAACGCCCTTGTGCTCACCTTGTTCTCTCTGGCTGAGAAGCTTCTTTCTCCCACCTGACCAGGAAGTTTAAGCATTTAAAACCCAGCCCAGATCCCAACTCCTATAGAAGCCTTTTCTCAAATTTACCCCATCTCACAAACCCCAGTACTGGTAAAGCTCAGCCTCCTTCTTTGCTCATGATTTCTGGATGTTTTATCTGCCACATCACTACTGTTACTTGCCCACATTTCACTAGAGTTGTTTATGAAGATGTCTGTATCTCCTAAGACATCATGAGCTTCCCAGGGCCTTTCCATTTCTAAATCTCCTGTGTTTAGTATAGTGCTTGACCTAACATGTTAATTAATAATTTTTCTTTAAATATAATAAATTATCTATTATCTCTCTGCATATTACAGTGGCCAGCTCACTCAAGTCTGCCTGTAACTTTTGTTTTTAGTACCAAAGCCCTGAGTCTCAGGAAAGCCTTGGTTCCAGGCAGATTGGAAGGGTTGGTCACCCTAATGTGTGTACTTAGGCAAAAACAGATATGTGGAAATGGGCCACAGGCAGACCTGAGGTCTTGCCACGCTACAGTGATGGTGCATTTGGGAAACAGGCTTTCAATTAATCCATTTTGGCAGTGAGCTCTCAGAGACATGCAAATGTTGTTAATGGTAATTTGCAGTTGTTGATAGTAATTTGCACCCCAATGGGCAGGCAGACACTGGATGGCACCTCCAGGGGAGTTGGGAAAGGCCAAAAAGGTGTAAACAACCCCCATTCCCCCAAGAGAAGGCACAAGTGAGTTGGCAGCTCTTTCTGACAGGATCCTATGGCATCCCCACCAGTAAGGGCAGCAGAAAGAGATGGATGCTCATTGAAGCCCAGTCCTGCAAGCGGCTGGCAATGTGGAAAGTGTCTGCCAGTTTCCACTCATCACATCATTAACACCCCAGAAGTTTTTCACCAGCCAGCAAAATTCTACTCACCATTCTGTTGCTTTTCTCCTGGCCACTTCTCGGCTTTGGGATTCTTCACACGAGAGTTGTCGCTTTTGTTTGTGCGTGTTCCATTGACTTGATTCTTACTTTCTCCAGATGTCTTCTTCTCAGCTTTGCCAGCTGCACCTTCTTCAGCCTGACCTTTGGCTTCTATTTCCTTCTGCTTCTCCTCCGCAGCCAGGCGAGCCTTTTCCTCTGCTTCCTTCTTAGCCTTCTCCTCTGCATCCATGGCAAGTTAGGGAAGGCAGAGAAGAGAAAAAGAGGTCATTAGGGCCAGGGATTTAGCTCAGCGGTTCGGTGGCTTGCCTCGCAAGCACAAGGACCAGAGTTCGATCCCCGGTACCAAAAAAAAAAAGAAAAAGAGGTCATGCCATTATGAGAATTGCCTCTTTGGGTGGAGAAAGCAACAGTGATTTACACTGGAAGCAATACACTACAATCAAGTAAGATGTTCAGAGAGTTTTGGGTATTTTGTGGTTAATTCAAGTCACATTGACATGTATCATAAAGTAGGTTCATAAAAATGTCCTTTCTGCTTTTTTTGTTTGTTTGTTTTTTGGTACCAGGGATGGAACTTGGGTCCTTTAGCTTTCGAGGCAGGCAGCAGAACCACTGAGCTAAATTGCTGGCCCTTGAGTTAAATCCCTGGCCCTCAATTCTGCAAATAATGAATTAGAGGAAGAAGCAGGGAGAAAAAAAAGGATGATGATTAATGAGATAGTATTGGAATAGGAACTATAATAATAACTTCTATTTTTTCATCTATTGCCAATATTTTGCTAAGTGCTTTTTGAGAGTTATTTATTTTCATTCTTACAATCATTCACCTTTTATAGCTATTATTATGGTGATCCTGTTTTATACATATGGAAATTCAGTCTCAGAGACATAAAATTTTCCCAGCCACAGTAAAAATTAGCATTTTTGGTAGAATTGCTTAGGTCCTACAGTTTAACCATAAAAACTTGGTTACAAATAAAAAGTCAGGAAAAATAATCACCACAAGGATAATACATACTTGAGCTACTGTGAATTGAAATGCAGGACCAGGATAATTAAGCCTTACCAGCCAACAAGCAAACAAATAAACAAAGTCTCCAGTTGTTCTCTCATTTGACATGTATGTGGTCTCTGTCCTTTCCTTTAATGAGAAGGTATCAGCATTATTTCCAATTCAGCTGATTATAGAAAGGCTTGGCTCTGTGCTTAATCTAAAACATGCCATAACTGCATAGGTCAAAATATATGAAAAGACTGGTTCATTTATTTATTGCTTTTTTGGGGTGTACCAGGGATCGAAATCAGGACCTTGTGCTTGCCAGGCAGGTGGTAGCACCACTGAGCTAAATCCCTGGCCCCGTTTATTGCATATTTATTGAGTATCTGTAGTGTGAAGCACTATTTTAGTGGTAGAAACATGACAGTGGACAAGAAAGTCATGGAGAAGACCATAATTACATAAGCAAATGATTAAGATAGTTTCAAATTGTGAGAAGTGCGTTGCCAAAAAGTAAAGCAGAGTGATATGGCAGAACATGATCAGCATTGGGGAGGAAGGTAGGAAAAAAAAAAAAAAAAGAGGAAAAGCTGACTATACAATAATCTGAAGAAATAACCTTTCAGGTAGAAGAACGAGAAAATGCAAAGACCATGAGGTGGGAAAGCGTGTATATGTTCAAATGACATTGAGTTGCCACTGTGGCTAAAGTAGAGATTTGGCAAGGAAGGGGTCAGTAACAGATGATGTGGAGGTAGAAGAACGAGAAAATGCAAAGACCATGAGGTGGGAAAGCGTGTATATGTTCAAATGACATTGAGTTGCCACTGTGGCTAAAGTAGAGATTTGGCAAGGAAGGGGTCAGTAACAGATGATGTGGTCAAATGACAAAGGACAGATAGGGCTCAGATGATGCAGGGGCCGGGAGACAATTTGATGGAGCTGGGTAGAAGAGAATAACATATATAAAAGGCCCTAGCAGAGACTCATCAATTGTATGGTCCAGAGACTCACTGCACATAGCATGCAGTTCACTCAAAAGGCCTCCCAGACTGTGCCATCAGCCTACACTGTGATAGCAAGACTGCATTTTTGCCACAGATGTGAACACTGCCCCCCACCTCATTATCTGGAACGTACTTTATTTCCCTGTGTTAATTTTGCCTTGAAGAACTGCTGTCACAGACAGTATATTTGTATGAACACCAGAATAGCTACGCATCTGATCATGTTTCCTTTTGTTTCAGCTGCTGAAGGACTCAAAATCCTAATCTGGTCCAGGTTCATGAGTTTATGAGTCTTTATGACACGTATATTGTGGATGTCCACGATATGTGGCTCTATTTTACTTGTCCTACTGCTGTATTAGACTACTTCAAATGTCCTCCTTATTATGATGTTCATTTTCATTCATCTTCTTATTGATCTGTCAATCTATGACCTATCTATCCCTCACCCAGCCATTCATTCATCCAAATCAATGACCTGGCCTCAAAACTAAATCAGATTCTGAAGGGAGAAGGGCAAAGGTAGAACATTTTCAAGTTTTTTTAAGGATTCCAATGTGCAGTGAGGATTGAGAAAGGCTGATTTAAAGTTTAAGTGTTTACCATTCAGTATTTCATGACATTCGACTCTGCAACAAGAGGTATTTATAATTTACATTGAAAGGGTAAGGACAGGTTTATTTATAAATAATATAACTAGGTGCCAGGAGAGCATAATATATCTTTTGGTTTTTACAGAGAATTACAACTAAAAAGTGAAAGAATGGTCTTGCAGAAGACGAAGAGACACATTTTCATCAGGCCACGGGGCCACAGAAGACATTCCCAAGTTTCTTCTCATCCTTCTTCAGTGCTCCACGGATAGGGGTAAACTATCCCCATCACTGTGGCATAGCACCTGGCACACAACATACACTCATAAAGTATTTTCTGACTCAGTGAGATATGTCCACTGGTGTGATTTACTGACCATGAAAATTCAACTTTATTTACATATTCCACTGTAAGCAATATAGACTGGCATAGAAAAACACAGAAAATATACAAATTCTCAGATCTTACTCTGAAAGAAATGCTTTGAAAATGTTCACCTCCTTAACTGCGGAAGTAAGAGAGTAAAATGATGATTGTTCGTAACACACAGAGAAGAAAAGTGAGATAAGGAGAATTCATCCATACTCAGTATCAACGGAAATATTTTACAGTCCAGTCATAGAACCTCTAGTGAATATATAGCAAACATTCAACATTCAAAATATTCCCAAGTTGAATTTTGATGAAAACTGAAGGTGTTAAATTCTGGTTCGCTACAAAAGACCATAAAATAATATCTGAGCCAGAAAAATGCATTTGACAACTGAGTCAGACCAATTTTCCATGGGAAATCTAGCAGAAAAAAAAACCCTAGAAAAATATCCATTTCAGAAATAAATCTGGTTTTGCTCAAGTGCAGCTAACAGCAGGCAATTAACATTTAAATTAATGAAATAAAAAATGGGAGCTCTGATGACATCATGGTCAGATCAGACGTGATGAGCCTGCCCCATTGGGTGATTCTTCTCCCTGCAACAGTCACCTTCTAGGCACTGGTTCAGCTATGTTCTTCAGCTTCACTACTTGACCTCTACCACTGGCTCCAGTCTGAAATAACTGATAAGAGGGCAATCAGCCATACAGTATCCCAAGAGATATTACTCAAAATGAAGAGGCAAAAACAAGCAAACATGAAGATGAGAAGAAAAAGAAAATATATCAGTAGGAGGTAGGTTTTTCTCCCATTGCAATCAGCTTTCCTTATATTTTCAAGGTAAAATGAATAGTATAGATAAAATTCTCTTTCAGTGCGAAAAACTACATGGAAGCACTGCTAATGTGTACCCATCACTAGGATTCAATAATGGCCTGCAATTTTCTTTTCAGGTTTAAGAGTTAGTATCCTTGGAACACCCTCCTAGGAGACTTAGACTTGTGAAATGCAAACTTCCTAGTTTGTTTCCTTTTTTTTCTCACCTCAAATGATCACCACTGACATGAATCATTATGAAAACGGTCAGTAGTAAACTACTAAAGAGTTAGGGTGGAACAGAGAGCCCTTATTTTAGATAAGTAAGTTAGATATCTTGTACGCAGTTAAACCCTCCAGGAGCCAACATGGAGGACAATCAAGATATATTCACTGAAGGCCAGCACTGTTAAAAGAAGATAATCGCACCCATGTGCTTCCTCTAAGAATGAATAGCAGTGATTGATATCCTTGGTCATTCCTTGTATGCTTGCTAGGTAACTTGCTTCCCCATTTGATCCACATTTAATAAATATCAACTAAGTGACTATACTTGTAATCTTATTGGTTGATCATAGTTTTGTTCCACCTTGTAATTTTCCATTGGATCAATATGACCTAAGTGACTGTAGTGTTGGAATCTTATTAGTAGACTATAGTTTTGTCCTGCCTTCAACCTAACTCACCTCACAGCTTTGCTCCATAAAAACACCATGAGAAGCAGGGTGGGCAGGCAACTGTTTTCTGGTCCCTCTTCTGTCTATCTTTTTCTCAATAAAATTTTCCTACTCTTAATCTCCGTTGTGTCTAGAATTCATTCATCAATTTTAGAGAACACAAACTCACATTTTGGACATATAGTAGGTTTGGGAGTTACGTCTACTCCCCTTATATCACCCTCACCCTCATACTCTACAAACTGCATACCTCCCAACAGATAGCTGGTTCCACTGAATGTCTGCACAACCTCAAAGAAATACTCTTTATAATGATACTATAACCTCTTCAGTTTTTAAATTCTTTTGGCTATTCTTACTTGATATAATTTTCTGAAATACCTATTTACACTGCTTTCAAAGAGGATAGAAACAGACAAAAAGAAACAAGAGACTGATGGAAGAAAACCACCAAAATACTATGTATGATATCACAATTTTATTCAGAATAAGAACAATAGAAAAACACTTTAAGGCACATTTAAAAACTCAAGATGTGTTCCCAGAGTTATGTGCTGAAAATTCTGGTCTAAGAAGTACTCTAGCTGGCAGAAAATTTCAATCAATTTAAAACTCAAATATGTCGTGCAATGAAACTAGCAAAGCCTATTGTTAAAAATAAGTATTTTCAGAAATTAAACTTGATGCAAATATTGAAACATAACATTTAAAGATAAACTGATCATAAGATAAGATTATACTTATAATCACCTGGA